ATATATATATATATATCTATATATATATATATATATATATATATATGTATATATATATATATATATATATATATATATATATATATATATATATATATATATATATATATATATATATATATAATATAGGTGAATAAAAGAATAATATTTCCGATTTGTTCAAAATCCGGTACAATAAGATCCGATTTCGGAACAATTTTTTCAACGGAATTAGGGTTAGGTCTACAGTTCAAAAGATTGAATTTTTTTACGAGAGTGTTAATTCAGATTCGATCCCTCAAGTTTCCAACCTTAGTTATATTATATATGAAACATCTCCAATTTTAATTATACTATATACTATATAGATAAAATTTGTGGACTTTTATTTCTTTTGAATTGGAAGATTTAATTTATTGTTACTAATATTATTATGTTGCAAGATTATTAATTTTGTTTTACATTTATGTAAAAAGGCCTTGATATTTGAATTGAATTTTTTATTTTATTGAAGAACAGTACTATGAGTAGCATTTAGTAACCCTTTTCCCTCATTTTTCACTGTTTTCTCTGAAAAAGAAAATTAACGAAATAAAGTGAAACAAATATTTGATTCATATATACTAACTTTTAAAGATGCCAAGAATGGGTTTACATTTAAACTTAATTTGAATCAAATGGTTAGCTCAAAGGAGGAAGAAAAAAAGGTAACACATGTAAACACACCTAATAATTTAATTGATTCCAATTTAATTATTGGGTAAATTACGGTCACCGCCTGATGTAGCTAGGGTCAAATTATAAAAATACCCTTTATATTTGGGTACTTACAAACTACACCTCAACGATGAATGTTTTTATACGTCTACCGTTACAGTGTCAATTTAAGTGGAATCTTTTGGATTATGTTAAATATTCTCCAGTTTGTACACGTTTTACCCCATTCGAGCTCCACATTTTGAAACATGATGAACATATATAAAATGTGTCTCCAGGCTTGTAAATATCAGACTGTGGTGAATCAGAAACTGCATTTTTGTACAAATCGAGTACATACTAAACAACATACCACGGAATCTAGAAGATTTTGTTGAATTTGACACCATAAAAGTAGATGTGAAATGAATCATAGTTGATAATTATCGGATAGTTGTAAATAGCAAAACGTGAAGGATTTTTTCGTAATTTAATATTACTCGAATATTTAATTGATCCCAATTTAATTATTATATGTGAGAAGAGAAGATATTTATAACAAAATTAAAGGTGAATTGCTATCATTTTCCGTACAATATTAATTCCTCCTGCATCACTTCAAAAATGTGCTTTTCTAATATTGACTATTCAATCAAATAATTATCTGAAAATGACTAGCTAGCTACTGATTTCATTTAATATATATTAATTAATGTGCTTTTTACATAGTTACCTTCCATAATTTAACAAAAATCTAATATCACTAAAACCTCCATATATTAATACTAGTTCATAAAATAATTACCTTATTTTATTACTTATATTTATACACAAATACACACAATATGCACATATATAAACCCCACACAATATTTGTACACACATGTAGATGGTAGATAATACCTATGACCAAACTACTGAATAACTAGTTGTTAGCTTGAGTTCACCATCAATTATCCACGTGGAAAGGTCTAAGTGTGGGCGGTAGTCCACAGTCGAATGTAGTACAATTTTATGTGTGTTGAACGCAGTATAAGGTTATGGATTGCGTATTTCCTGATATTAATTGGTCTAATAGCGCATGAGGCCGTTCCTACAAGTGATATCAGAGCTAAGGTCAGTTTCGTTTCCCAACTGGAGCAATTGCCGAGAGGAAGATTGTTAGTCTGAATTTGGCAGAGCTAATTGCATATAACCCCCTGTGTAATTTCGAATGGGCAAAAAGACCCGTGTGTTAAAAAAATTAGCAAAAATCTCCCTATATTTTGTTTTACAAAGTACACTGCCCCTTACATTTAAATTGGGTGTTGACTTACATGAAATGACGAAATCACCCCTAGTTAGAACAAACCAAATACCCCACACTAGAAAACAAAAAATCGGGAAAAAAAAAAAAGGAAAGTTCGAAAAAATTTCACTTTGAGAGCGGCAATGGAGTTGAAGATGTCAGACCGCCTCAAGAACAAAGAACAAAGGGAAGATAACTCTTGTTAGTTTTGACACAAATTTCTGGTTGTTAAATTTTATTTGGCCTATTTGTATTGTGGGAAAAATAGATAAAGAGAAAAAAAGGAAAAAAAAAAAAAAAAAGAAAAGAAGAATTGGTGGATCTGACGGAGGAAAAGATAACGAGGGAAGAGGCCATTGTTTAGAGTTAGGAGGCTGAAGAAGTTTATTGTGTCTGTTCAAGCTCCCCTCCACGTGCTCTAATGGTGGGTCTTACACACACACACACACACAAAAATACGGCCTGTAAATGCATTTCTTTTTTTGCTTGAATTGAATTTCAGCTTCCCTTTTGTTTGCTGATTCGTAATGGATTATTTGAGGGGGGGGGAAACTATTGATGGCTGTAGGTGTGTGGTGGAGACGAAAATTCTGGTTTTGGGGTGTGGTTTTGGGTTTATTGGGGAAGATGGCTTTTTAGAAATATTAGGGATTGAATTGAAAATTTTGAGAAATTCATTTTGGGCCTGATTAAAATTATGGGGTGAATTTATAATTTTTTAAATTTCTAATTTAAAGGGTATTTGAGTCTTTTCACGTCAAAAAATAGACACCCACTCGCACATTTCGCGCGTGCTACACACGTTCGGCTAGCAGGGGCCTTATTGCCTTTGACTAATTTTCATAGGGGGCTATTTGCTAATTTTGTTAACACAAGGTGTTTTTCAGCAATTCGAGATTACACAAGGGTGGTTTTTGCAAAAAACCCGAATTTGGCAGCAATCGTCCAGTACTGAAAGCAATAAACATAAAAAACCCCACCGTAGATTAGTTGGTGAATTAATTTTTTGTTTTTTTTCTTTCTTTGGTTTAATTTCAATTATTTGGAGATGATGAATGACAAAGTTGTTCAAATGAATATTCCAAATCTCAACATATGGTGAATTTTATATTCATCAGCGGAATTGACGCAGAACGGAAGCACGGTAAAGAATTAATTTCTACGAATTAATCCTATAGAACAAAATAACATTCGGAATCCACCGAAAACTCTGGAATCCACCAGAAAAATAGAGAAAACTCTAAATAATTTTATTAAAATTCAAAATTCTTATTAAAATAAAGACCTAAGGCAGCTATTTATACTAAAAAACTGAAAACCCTAATTAAACTAAGAAAATACTAAAAATTACCAAAAACGGCAAAAACGAGTTAGAGTCTGATTCTAGTAGATCTTGTAATTTTGGGAACAACCCAATTTACGGAATCCTAATCCGATTTTTCTATGATTTGATATTAATTTTCTAAAACTTACCTAAAATAGCAAAAACGAACTTTTAGGAGTCCAAACGACGTTGGATTGCTGAAATTTCACGTGATTCATGAGCTTTGCTCATGAGTTTTGTTCCTTGCGCCGTTTTACTTGAGATAGAGTTGGTTTCGTACTCAAATACAATGTGAGTTCGTTGAAAACCCTTATTTTTCCGTAATTTCTTTCGGTATCTCCACCGATGCCCATAAATAACTCTTCTACGAATTAAATAGTTATTTTCCAATTCGAATCCAATTTGATGTTCCTTATCAATCTCTGGAATCCACCAGAAAAATAGAGAAAACTCTAATATTTTATTAAAATTCGAAATTCTCCTCCCAAAATAAAGTCCTAAGGCAACTATTTATACTAAAAAACTGAAAACCCTAATTAAAATAAGAAAATACTAAAAATTACCAAAAACAACCCAATTTACGGAATCCTAATCCGATTTTTCTATGATTTGATATTAATTTTCTAAAACTTACCTAAAATAGCAAAAACGAACTTTTAGGAGTCCAAACGACGTTGGATTGCTGAAATTTCACGTGATTCATGAGCTTTGCTCATGAGTTTTGTTCCTTGCGCCGTTTTACTTGAGATAGAGTTGGTTTCGTACTCAAATACAATGTGAGTTCGTTGAAAACCCTTATTTTTCCGTAATTTCTTTCGGTATCTCCACCGATGCCCATAAATAACTCTTCTACGAATTAAATAGTTATTTTCCAATTCGAATCCAATTTGATGTTCCTTATCAATCTCCTCTTCTTCAAAAGAGCTCGACCTCGAGCTATGATCAAAATATAGCGATGCATATTTCTTTGCAAACAACTTCAAGTGCTCCACCAATATTTCCGGCACAAAAATATCGCTTACAAAATCTTCTTCCAAACGAGGCGTTGGTAAAATTGGCTTCTTAATAGAAAATCCCAATGGCTCCACCAATTTCTCCGATACAAGAACTTCACAGCAAACACTATCTACAATTAGATCACATACCTCAACGCAACCCACTTGTACCTTCTCTTCTCGTGCACCTTCCTCTTCTTGAACAAATTCTACAACTTCAAACTCTTCCTCAAATTTACTTTTAACACCCTCATTAAACTCATCGACTTCTTCTTCAAGCTTGCTAACATTGTCCTCTACCCCATTGTCGCTCTCTTCAACTTTGTTGATGCTCGCTTCAAACTCGTTGTCTGTCCCTTCAACTTCGTCGATGTTCACTTTGATTTCGTTAATGTCATCGTTAATAATAGCTACGCTACTTTTAACTTTTACGACAATTTTCTCTTCAACTTCGTCAACTCCTACGTCATGATCCTCCACCAAATTTGGAGGTTGAATAACGAACGAAGTATCTTGTACCTCCTTAACTTTGGCAACGGGTGGAACATCTTTGATTTTTCTAGAAGAACTATTTCGCTTCTGATAATATTCCTCGCTCCATGCTAACTCTTCAGCCTCTTCAAAGGAGTCGAATGCGCGCCACCCCATCCTAAGACGGATTGAAATATTCAATCCTTGCAAATACCTTGAAATTTCCATACTTTCGGATTCTTGCAGGTTATTTAAGTCTCCTAGTCTCATAAACTCAGCAGTATACTTGTTAACACATCTACTCCCTTGCGAACAATTACGATATAGTTGAAATAGACGTTGCTCATAACCTAGGGGTAAAAAACGATCCATCAACATTTTTCTCATCCTCCTCCATGATTGGATTGGAAATTTTTCTTGTCTAGCTCTCTTCCTCTGTATATCATCCCACCATGCGGCTGCACAACCCTTTAACTCACACCTAACCAATTTTACCATCCGATATTTATCACGATCCTTTTGCCTCTTTATAGGCGGATTTTCTTCAAAATCAGAGTTGCCGCTCACCTTTGAATAGCCGTCATACCTTGATTGAAGTTGAACAGGTCCATAATAATTGTGTCTAACATATGCACCTCGGGCTACACCGTCGGCAATCATCATGCTAGATTCAGTCCTTCTGTTGTTGTTGTCAAGGGCAAATCCCTCGCGCACCAACCGCAGATTTTGCAATTTCTCAACCCCGCGGTCATCGCCAACGTAGTTGTTGTCTCCATGTTTCGCACCTTTCGCCATCTAACCAGGAAAAACCTCGCTACTGATGCCAACTGACGCAGAACGGAAGCACGGTAAAGAATTAATTTCTACGAATTAATCCTATAGAACAAAATAACATTCGGAATCCACCGAAAACTCTGGAATCCACCAGAAAAATAGAGAAAACTCTAAATAATTTTATTAAAATTCAAAATTCTTATTAAAATAAAGACCTAAGGCAGCTATTTATACTAAAAAACTGAAAACCCTAATTAAACTAAGAAAATACTAAAAATTACCAAAAACGGCAAAAACGAGTTAGAGTCTGATTCTAGTAGATCTTGTAATTTTGGGAACAACCCAATTTACGGAATCCTAATCCGATTTTTCTATGATTTGATATTAATTTTCTAAAACTTACCTAAAATAGCAAAAACGAACTTTTAGGAGTCCAAACGACGTTGGATTGCTGAAATTTCACGTGATTCATGAGCTTTGCTCATGAGTTTTGTTCCTTGCGCCGTTTTACTTGAGATAGAGTTGGTTTCGTACTCAAATACAATGTGAGTTCGTTGAAAACCCTTATTTTTCCGTAATTTCTTTCGGTATCTCCACCGATGCCCATAAATAACTCTTCTACGAATTAAATAGTTATTTTCCAATTCGAATCCAATTTGATGTTCCTTATCAGGAATAGTTGTTTCATATAATTTAATTAGAGCCCCACAAGAGTAGGTCATATAATAAATTCATAATTCATGGTTTATTAATTTATTTGTCAGATAATTCACTATTCGACCATGACAACGTTAATTAGTGAACTATATCACCATAGGGGTGTCCATCAAGCCGAAGCTCAAACCGGTCGCATAAACGGGCCTTTCTCGAATGACCCGGATCCTAGTAATTGGAAACGGGTACCGTTAATCGAGAAAAAAAAAATGAATTTAATTTGGTAAATTAATTAGTGGTCCTAGAAGAAGAAGAAGAAAGGGGGTGCATTATAATTTATGTTTGATGTGTTTCATCTAGATTGTGAAGGTGGATATAAATGCTCTTATTTAATAATTTAATTTCATATGTAAAAGGAAGTGTGTGTGTATATATATATATATATATATATGAAATAAGGGTGGTAACCATGAAATGTCAATTGTCTGTGGAATGTGTTAGCTAATTCGATCGAACACATAATAATGTGGTAATTACTGCATGCATGTGTGTGTGGGGCTATATTTTAATTTTAATATTTATTGAATTTTTGGTAATATTAATTGTTCTCTGTTCCCCGTGGGCTTCATTTTTGTTTCTTTCTCATATAATAAGGTCCACTCTTCTCTTCTCCCCTACCTATTTTGCATACTTTTTGTGTTGCTAGTTTTACAGTAAATCATTTTCTTAAGTACCCAAAAAAAAATAAAAAATATTACTGAACCATATATTTTGGTTCGGTAATCGGTATGAAATTTTGGCGTAACGAAATTTCGGTATGATTTTTTACCGAATGAACACCCCTAAATTTACCTCCTAGATGGTTTTTCTCATAAAATTACAATACATAGGTGAGAGTGGTTGTATTGTAACTATATAAATATGAGGATTTTTTTTCGTAATTTAACCCACATCGATGTGGATGGCCATAGTTTTCCATAAATAATATTCATTATTTCCAAGCCTCTTATAAGCATATAAAGAAAGAAAAAAGTGTCAATTATTTGATGAAACGTTTGCTAATGTTGTCTAATCACCTGACAACACATAATAAACACAATATATATACATCAAAAATTAATATACTGTTATTTTCAAGAACTTGAAAAGTCCCAAGTCTTTTGCATCCAGAAAGCGAAATCACTAATGAATTTAATGTAGATTTAACATTTCGAATTAAATTCAACAGTGATATATATATATATATATATATATATATATATATATATATATATATATATATATATATATATATATATATATATATATATATATATATATATATATATATATATATATATATATATATATATATATATAT